GACCGGCATTGAACGTGCCTGCATGGATTGTTGATTTCCATTTCCAATTCCTGTATTACACATTTACAAAGTTTGTTGGAGAATTTAATATAGTCCATAAGACACTAATAACAACATAAAACAAATAAGACACCAATAACAACATAAAACATAGAATAAACCACGCAAAATTGCCTAAGGATCCAGCTAGCTTCTTTCAGTTGCTAAAAAAAAATCGCCCGAGAATGTTTGGAATTGACAATCAAAGCTATTTAACAAAGTATGAGCAGGGATCGTCATACAATATGATGACATAACTGATTATGTCTACGAGATGATGATGATGACATTGATGAGACAATTTTGCTGGTTTCTAACAACTGTTACCAAGATAATGTTTTTGTATAATTCCATCACATTTCTATTTGGAAGTATTTAATTTGCGAGTCCTTAATCATTCTGCAAACGAAACAGTTGCTTTAGTCAAGTGAGTATGAAGCAAAAATATCGTCGAAGAGTAGTATATTTCTAAGCCTTGTTTGATGAGGTAAGCATTGAATTAAATTGTTTTATGTTCAAAAAATCAAGTATGCTACCTAACGTTCAAACATTCCAACTGTAACGGCATTGCAATAATTTGCTTACACTTAGTTTTAACCTGTTTTTATTTTATTAGAAACTAATACACTTTTCAATGGCACCGGTCTGAATTTAAACAAGACTTTAACATAGAGTTTAACCTTCCACTCATTCTATACTATTTTCACTGATTCTATTCAACTTATCATGAAGAAGAAAAATCATTACAAGGTTGGCTTGCCCTGCCGAACTAAGTAAAAGGGGCAAGAAAATAGAAATACAAAATCCCTTTCTCAAAAAAAATAATAATAATAGAAATACAACTCTACAATATTAATTTTGCATGCGAGTTGTCAAGAAAAGTGTATTACTAGCTTTAAAATAAATATCATCGATCGTTACAATCCATAAGATATCATCGACATGTATATATAGTGGAATTAAACTAGTAAACCATGTGAAAGAATTGTTGAGGATTTGATCATAAAATTTCTCCTTAGATATTTGTAGTCGCGGAGTGGGTTGGTGTACTAATAATGACGGAAAGCTACAAGTTACAACGATAAGATTCTTATAGTGGTAGTTACGATTCTTAATTTTCTTATTGCAATAAGCACTTGTTTAACTTATCAGAAGAGATGTTTATATAATAGTGTTGTCTTAAGTTAATTAGTCGCCAAATCTTTCTTGAAAGATGTCATAATAATCAACACGCTTTGCGTCATCTTGATCTAACAAGACAATACCTTTTTTTTTTTCTAGTGGAGTTGGAGTTTAGAACTTTGAATACATATTAGCAGTACCAAGCCTGATACTTTTGAAATATCACAAATATTAAATGTAATATTATACCTAAACCGAAACCTAACCGGGAATAGTACGCAAGGAACCTGATGCTCTTCTATCTGACTAGCTTCGAATCAGATAAATCACGACGGCTGGAAATGAAAAAGAGAATTCAAGTGTTGAGATGATATACTATTAAAAAAAATATAAAATCAAGTATATAACGAGGATAACACTTTAAGATAACAAGTTGATGAAGAAAGTGGGTTGATGATGAAAGGCGTTTCTGGCTTATTCTTTTATTGAGGATGGATGTACATGTCTGCTTAAATCAAAGTGGATGATCTGAACCAAAGAACCCTATTCTTGTTTTTGATCTCCTCGATCTTTATTATCATTTTTAATTTATTTTGCAATATAAACATGGAAAGTAAAGATCTAGTGATCGACCAAACGACCATTAAGATTGATTAGTACAGTTTGTATGTGTGCTTGCGGTTTAACGCAAACTCGGGAATTAAAAGATTATATTCTATTTGTATTTGTATGAATACAAATCATTTTGAACTATTTTTCCATTGAGTGTTAGTCTAACTAATGGTTTTTTGTCTGACGAGAATCTTGATATAAATTCCTTACGAAAGATTTGCTTTCCCACAATCAGACTTATGGTAGTAATGAAAAGAGAAAAAGTTTGTATAACTTTATTGTAAAGAAAAATAACATCTTCATTTTACATAGCTGGTGAAACCATGAGACTGTTTCTTCGCCCAACAAAATTTAATACGTTTTTAATGAGTTTAGTTGGCAAAAAATTATCAAAATATTTCATTCTTAATACAAAAGATAGCTTACACGCCTACCTGCAGAAACTTCTACGATGGACTGGTGTGATATTCTTTCGAATTCTAGGTAAGAGATATGTGTATCAATAATGTATGTCACTATCAAGTCGATCATATTTATTCACTTTTTACTTTAGCATTTTAAAGCTCCACAAATTGTGTGTACTCATCATATAAGGTTGGCACTAGGTCATTTTCTTTTTACATTTTGATGCGTTTTACTTTACAGACAAGATATTTTCTAAATATGTTTAGCTATTTTATAATCTAAATAAATAATGGTGTTTTTTTCCCTAAACCCAACTTGAATTAAAAAGAAAAAAACATGTCATTGGACAAATATATTTCATGGCATTTAGCCAATAACATTGGAATTCTTTTACACAATCTTTTGTGATGAATGAAGTTATTAACATACAAATATTTTTGCATTTACTATTTGATAAAAAAATAATTGAAAGTTAAATAACATGAAGCTTCAACACACGTACATATAATGATATAAACGTTATTCATAGTTGAACAATGTCACTAAGTCCAAATGAAAACGATGACAGCATCTTGGACTCTCATTTTCAATCCCTTATTTTCTTTCTTCTTTGTTTACTCTTATGTCGTTTTAGAATTATTCATATAAATCCTTGAGTCAAAAGAACACATGAGTATGGTCCTACCAGCTTTTCACCAATCTTTTTTCTTCTCTTTTCATATAAACTTTTTTACCAATTTTTCTGTGCATATAAATCTGCACTCAGCTTCCAGTTTCACTTCATCCACCTCTTCTTCTTATTCAAACTAGAACCAGACAGAGGTTTTTAAACAAATGTTATAAGACAAAGACAACACTTAGCTTCTGTCTTTTTATAATAACACTTGTCATTTAAGTTGGTACATATTAAACAAAACAAAAACAGAGCAAAAAAAAAACAAAAATGGTTCAAAACCAGCAAGAAGTTTTCACCGTCGATATGCCACAAACGGGTGGCTCAAAGTGCTTCGACGACGATGGCCGTATCAAACGAACTGGTAATAATAACATTTCCCTTTCTTGCATGTTGCAAAAATATCAGAAAGATGAAGTTTCTAAATGTTTCTTTGGGTTTTTATAGGAAGTGTTTGGACGGCGAGTGCACACATCATAACGGCTGTGATAGGTTCAGGAGTTTTGTCACTAGCGTGGGCCACGGCTCAGCTAGGTTGGCTAGCAGGACCGGTGGTGATGTTACTCTTCTCCTTCGTTACTTATTTCACTTCTACTCTCCTTGCCGCTTGTTACCGCTCCGGCGACCCTATCTCCGGCAAGAGGAACTACACTTACATGGATGCCGTCCGATCAAACCTAGGTAAAAATAAAATATATGAATGTGACGGTGGAGGAGATTAGACCATGATGATTAACTCCAGTCTCTTAACCGAGATTCAGTTCTTAACTTTTCTAAGATTTTAACTAAGAAAAGCTTAGAACCGTCTAGATATAATAACAGTCTTTTAGCCGGAAAAATGTATAAAAAAAAAAATTATGTCAAATTAACATGTTTTTTCATTGTCTGGATATAGGTGGCGTGAAGGTCAAGTTATGTGGGATAGTTCAGTATCTTAACATCTTTGGTGTTGCTATTGGTTACACTATTGCTTCAGCTATAAGCATGATGTAAGTATTGTCAACGAAAAGCTACCAAAGTGGTTTCTTGATAATGGGTTTTGATTAACAAAATCATTTTTTATTTTATTTTCAGGGCAATTAAGAGATCAAACTGTTTCCACAAGAGTGGAGGGAAAGATCCATGTCACATGAACAGTAACCCTTACATGATAGCTTTTGGTCTAGTCCAGATTATATTCTCTCAAATTCCAGATTTTGATCAGCTTTGGTGGCTCTCTATCCTCGCTGCTGTCATGTCTTTCATTTATTCCTCTGCTGGTCTTGCTCTTGGCATTGCTCAAGTCGTTGGTCCGTAACACTAACACATATATGCTCTCATTAGTTAATATTACTAGCTGTTCCAGAATATATGATGTTTTAGGCCAAGACTACTAAGAAAGTTACTTACTTATCTAAAACATATCATTAAAGTATAAATTAAAAATAATTCAATAGAAAATAGTTACACAGTTTTTAACAAACTTAAAATTAACTAAAAATATGTAAACATCTTTCATATAACTAACGTGGAGAAGTAAACTTTGTTTTTTTTTTTGTTTTGGTTTCATCAGCAAATGGGAAGGTGAAGGGAAGTCTCACTGGTATTAGCATAGGAGCAGTGACAGAGACACAAAAGATATGGAGAAGCTTCCAAGCTCTTGGAGACATTGCTTTTGCTTACTCATACTCCATCATCCTCATAGAGATTCAAGTAACTCTATCATCATTACAAAGTCTTAAAAAAATTAAAACCATCATGGTCTCTCATATCCTCAAGCTTCTCTTACTTTTTGTCCATAAAAAAAAAAACAGGACACAGTGAAGTCACCACCAACAGAAGAGAAAACCATGAAGAAGGCAACACTTGTTAGCGTTGGTGTAACAACTACATTCTACATGTTGTGTGGTTGCATGGGATATGCAGCTTTTGGAGACATGTCTCCAGGGAATCTCTTAACCGGTTTTGGTTTTTATAACCCTTATTGGCTTCTTGACATTGCAAATGCAGCCATTGTGGTTCACCTTGTTGGTGCATACCAAGTCTATTGCCAACCTTTATTTGCCTTCATCGAGAAGCAAGCTTCGGTTCGGTTCCCTGATAGTGACTTCATTGCTAAAGATATCAAGATCCCTATCCCAGGGTTTAAGCCTCTACGTTTGAACTTCTTCAGGTACTACAAAGTCATGTCTCTTCAATATACTACTTAACATGTTACATATCAGCTTTTATGGAATAACCAAATGTTTTATTCAGGTTGATATGGAGGACAGTGTTTGTGATTGTAACAACACTTATCTCAATGCTTCTTCCGTTTTTCAACGATGTTGTTGGGTTGCTAGGGGCACTAGGGTTTTGGCCGTTGACGGTTTATTTTCCGGTGGAGATGTATATTGAGCAGAAGAAGATAGCTAGATGGAGCACTCAATGGGTTTGTCTTCAAATCTTCAGCTCAGCTTGTTTGGTAGTTAGTCTTGCTGCAGCTGCAGGGTCTATAGCTGGAGTTGTTCTTGATCTCAAGTCTTACAAGCCATTTCAAAGCGACTACTAATTAATACTCTAATTCTTGAATCATCAGGATGAATCAAGAACGGTCAAAAGACAGCTTGTGTTTGATAAGATAAAAGCAATAAACATTGTTGTTTCTTCTCTTTCAGATAATAGTATCCCTTCAAAGCCTAATGGCAAGAACTGTAGTCTTACTACCACATTCATATATACTAATAGAAGAGGTTTGAGAAATGTGAAACACAATGAGTCAATAACAAACAATGTGTAGATAAATATACACACACACACAAACAGTTCAAAGCAACTCTCTAGTGAAAAGATGTATAAGGACAGTGTTTAAGATAGCTCCTCTTTTTTGAACTTGTTCCAAGCTTCCTGTTTGATGTAATAGAAGAAAGTTGTTCAGACTCATCCTTTAAATAACTATAAGTTTGAGAGACTCATGCATGTTTACTAAGAATATACCTGTAAGATGCTAAAGACCTTCTCGGCAATATACTTTTGTTGAGCATCTTTCTGCTGAACTTTATCAGGATGTACATAGAGAGTTGCCTTTCTATAGACTTTCTTGACTGATGCAGAAGTGATCAAATCTGTTAAAGAGACAGCCTCCCATCCACATCCAGGCCAAAGCACCTGATCAACCTCAATGAGATTAATAAGAAGTAACAAGCAACTTGATTTTAAGGTTGTTTTAAAGAGAGTACTCACAAGATGCAATGATGATAACAGTGCACGTAGGTTGCCTTCTTTACCATCAGACCATAGCTTAATCTCAAGGAACTGTGCTTGAGCAACAGGTGAACCAAACTGTTGTTTATTTACTTGAACAGATTCAGTTTCTTTAACCTCACTAGCAATTTAAAAAAAAAACAGTTATATCATCATCAGTTACAATAACTATCATTACATAACCAATGTTTCATAAACTGATTCACAAACCTGTTACTAGGATGACCACTCCTACCAAATCCAGGTATCAACTCATCAAAACCATTTTCATTTAGTCCGGTCAAAAAGTCATCATCACCTGCGTTGACCAATGAAGAGATTGACTTAACCAACAAGTAACCGACACAAGTAAGATTCATCACTAAGACACGACTTAGTCTTACCAGAACCATTTGTAGATAACTTATTCAACTCATCAAACACCAAGAAATAGTCAAACCCACCAGAAGGATTGAAAGAGTCAAACTTTGAATCATTCAAGGTCAACTCTGCGTTTGAGTCGAAAGGAGAAGCCTTTACAGTGTTAGGGTTGAAGTTAGATCGTTTTAAGGAAGCCATTGGAGCTGACTTTCCTCGAGGCTTTAACCCGTAACGCTCTGTGAGAGCAACGAACTCGTCCATAGGGCAGAACTGGTCAAGTAGTAATTACTCTTTTGAGTTAAAAAAGACGTAAAGCTTTATGATTTATCGAAGGTCTCTGTTTCTTACTCTGCTTTTCTCTCTGTGTCTGGCCTTGAGGCGTTTATATAATAACTAATTTTCGTATTAGAGCAGCAAATTAACGCGGTTGCTTAAGCCCGTGTCTTAGTATTATTAGAATTTAAAATAAAATAAAAAATTTAGCTTAAAAGTGAAGGAACATTTCTTAACTAAGGGAACCAAGAAAGAGATTAACTTTGCTTAGATAGTGAGAGGTTAGAGCTGCAATTAATTGATTGATGAAAACTTTCTATGAATGTGTATACTGATTGTGTCAGTATCTGATCTTGATTCATTCACCAGCTTGCTTTGTGTCTTTGCTTTTTTCAAACATCAGTTCTCATATTCTTAGATGGTAGAGATCAAGCTTCAAACTTTATTTAATTTAAGCTTCAATTTTTGTTTTTATTTTTTTGTTTTTTATTTTAACATTCATGTTTTAAATGTTATTTTTAATATATTTTATTTAATATATAAATTTTATCTTTTATAAAATAATGTTTAATAATTTTTTTTATAAATAACTCTTAAATAAGAAACTAGCATTGGAACACAAAATCTAAATGTCTCTTAATTAAAGTTTTTATCTGAACATTTAATTATTAAAATAATCATTAAGAGATTTTGGGTGGGTTAATTATGTTCTTAATATATTTACCTATTTGGGCTTAATGAGCCTTCTTTTCTTTTTGTAATGAGCTTTTATATGTGACCCAACTTAACATGGATTTATTCACTAATTGTTTAACATGGATTTCACCAAGTAAATTAATTTTAATATGGTACTAGATTTTGACCCGCGCAACCGCGCGGGTGTTTGTTTTCGTTTATAGTTAATTATATAAACATTTTGTTTTCACTTGTAAATTGGTATATATCATAGTAATCACATATTTACGATATGTATAGTAAATGTTTTTCAAATATGATAATATTATATAATACGTGTTTTAATCAAATAAATTATTTCAAATTTTCTATATTATACATGTTTTTTCAAACATGTGTTTGTTTCTTCTTCTATATTTTATTGTTTGTTAGATTAGTATTTCATTTTTAGATAAATTAATATAAATAGAGCTTGATTAAATATTAGTATACTTTAATTTTCAAAGATAATATAAACTTCCAATTTTTTTTTTTGCTAAAAAATAAACTTATAGCTTCATAAATTAATATTAGAAAGAATTTTATTAAAAAAAAAGTTTTTTAAACAATTTTTTTTAAAACAATATAATTTTAAAAATTTACATCGAAATAAATTTACCTAGTATATATAACGTGTAAACTTTGTTAGGGTATATAAATTTTCCATATTACGAATATGTGATTTTTGTTAATATATTATGGATGCATTTAATTATTATTGACATATTTCCTTATAAATAATAGAAGATTCCTAAACTTATATTGTTTGACATATTTTGCGTGACTAAGTTGGAAGGTATGAGATAATTTACCAAAACAAAATTGTTAAGCGTATATTTGTTACAATAGATATGATTTTTCATAAGATATAATAATGATAAGATTATTAGAGAGTTAATGTAACATGACTTTTTAGTAATAGTCCATTTTAAAAAAAAAATCACACATGAAGTCAAGTCATGACTCCTGTTTTAATATATAAGACTAGATTTTGACCCGCGCAACCGCGCAGGTATTTGTTTTCTGTGTATAAGTAGTTATATAAACATTTTGTTTTCACTTGTAAATTGGTATATATCATAGTAATCACATATTTACGATATTTATAGTAAATATTTTTCAAACATAATAATATTATATAACACAATGTTTTAATCATATAGATTATTTCAAATTTTCTNAGACTAGATTTTGACCCGCGCAACCGCGCAGGTATTTGTTTTCTGTGTATAAGTAGTTATATAAACATTTTGTTTTCACTTGTAAATTGGTATATATCATAGTAATCACATATTTACGATATTTATAGTAAATATTTTTCAAACATAATAATATTATATAACACAATGTTTTAATCATATAGATTATTTCAAATTTTCTATATTATACATGTTTTTCAAACATGTGTTTGTTTCTTCTTCTATATTTTATTGTTTGTTAGATTAGTATTTCATTTTTAGATAAATTAATATAAATAGAGCTTGATTAAATATTAGAATACTTTAATTTTCAAAGATAATATAAACTTTGAAGAAATTTTTGCTAAAAACTAAACTTATAGCTTCATAAATTAATATTATAAAGATTTTATTAAAAAATAATTTTTTAAACAATTTCTTTTTTAAAAACAATATAATTTTAAAATTTATATGGAAATAAATTTATCTAGTATATATAGCGTGTAAACTTTGTTAGGGTATATAAATATTCTATATTACGAATATGTGATTTTTGTTAATATATTGTGGATTCATTTAACTATTATTGACATATTTCCTTATAAATAATAGAAGATTCCTAAACTTATATCTTTTGACATATTTTGCGTGACTAAGTTGGAAGGTGTGGGATAATTTACCAAAACGGAATTGTTAAGCGTATATTTGTTACTATAGATATGATTTTTCATAAGATATAATAATGATAAGATTATTAGAGAGTTAATGTAACATGACTTTCTAGTAATAGTCCATTTTTAAAAAAAATCACACATGAAGTCATGACTTCTGTTTTAATATATAAGACTAGATTTTGAACCCGCACAGATGTGCGGGTAATTTTTCATTTTTAAAATATAAAAATTTAATATATGTTAACAATTTTATTTTCTGTAAAATTTATTACATAATTTACGAATGTTTAATCTTTATAAAAGGTAAATAGTATTTTAGTCACTTAAATGGTAAATGATATTTTATTTATTTATTTAAATGATTTTTTAATAAATATATTAGTTTACCAATTTAATATAACTTTTATATGTAATTCATTTATTTCTATTTTAATATAATATAGAATATACTTATAATATTTAGAAAATTGGCATATAGTAAATTATATTTTGTTTATAATAAAATTTTAATTAAGGTTAATGTTTAATAATATTATACTACTAAGCACGAAATTAATCACTACATTAGTTAAAAACCTATTTAAATTTTTAAAAAGATTTTGTTAGATTTTTTCTCAACAGATTTTGTGATTACTACAACTAAAATTTAAAATTATAGTTATTAATATCTTTATACTTATTTAGAAAGGTTATAAATCAAATAAACTAATATAAATAATCAAAACAATGTAACTGAATATATGGATCTAGTATGACTCTTCTATAGTAGATGAAATGGGTACTTCTCTTTTAATAGAGAAGATATGTCATACTAAGTAATTAATGAAATGGTCCTACATGACTACTTCGTAGTAGATAAAAATAGTGGTTCTCTTTTAATAGTATTGATNTATAAATCAAATAAACTAATATAAATAATCAAAACAATGTAACTGAATATATGGATCTAGTATGACTCTTCTATAGTAGATGAAATGGGTACTTCTCTTTTAATAGAGAAGATATGTCATACTAAGTAATTAATGAAATGGTCCTACATGACTACTTCGTAGTAGATAAAAATAGTGGTTCTCTTTTAATAGTATTGATGATTCTATTCTTGCTTTCGTTAATCAAGTCCATTCATTTCCTTTTAATAGTTGGTACTCAGCTTAGGAAAAATAGAGCTTGAAAGGATAAAAACGCAAGTATAGCAGTTTTGAGACAGTACTCCATAACCAGGAGATAACAGATGAACGCTAAGTAGAAGAATACATCTCTCTTGGATAGCTACAGTTTGAGAGATGGTGGAGAGATTTTCCTAAATTCTCTAGACCTAAATCCCCACCCGATACCTCCTTGGCACTTTAACGAAATTAGATAACTATAGATTGAAATCCAATCTGGTAGAGTGAAGAAGACGAAGACATTGATTGTTGTTGACTGAGGTAGGAGGAGACGCAACGGTTCTGGTTTTTCAATTTCTCTGACACAATAACTAAACCGGATTATCATTTAATATAAACCAGCGGTATAGAGAACGGTTAAGATTTCAAGTGGTTTTGGGCTCACTCCCCCGGTTTTTCAATATATGTCGAAATCCCAAAGTAGGATGTTCATGTAAGGTGGGGCTGTGTCATTGACGCGCTCAAAGTGAGAGTGGGGGACACTACAATTTAATTTTGAAGTCCTAAATTTATTTCTTTTTGAAATTTTTTTTCATATATGTGATTAACATATAAAACTCTAATAGTTAGAAATTATTTTTGTCAGTTTTGATAACTTTCAAATTTTTATATTTCATGCTCTAGGAGCAATGTTGCTATACATCAAATAAATAGAATTAAGAGTAGTTTCAACTTAAACGATGTAGTTTTAAACTAGTAGGATCGATGTTTGGTGGTCACAAACTTGTTACTTCGGCTGAAGAGACAACTCCCACCAAGCCCAATCTGAATTGAAATAGTCAAACCCATTAGGAGCCCAATGAAGGAAGCGAGAAGAAGTATCCAAAGTTTGTGTTTGGAGATTATATGGATGTCTATGCAAACCAGAAGGAGTCTCGTTTTCTTGCTGTAAAGTCTCTCTAAAATGGTATTCAACAGTAACATCACTGTTTTGTTTTATCAAATGTCAAATTTAATAATTGATAACCTGGCATCTTTTCTTCTGCCTTTGTATTTTGAATACAAGTCTGGCACTCTCTTTGAGTATTTTTTCATAATCCGAATGAAGCAACGTAGTCACAGGTAATGTCTGCATCATCTCATAAACTTTGTAACTGTGTCTGTGTACATGTGATTTATGACTTTCTGATGTAGCTAAGTTTCTGTAATGGATAGACGCTGCGACTACAGCAAATTAAACGACGCGGAGGATGTTGTTAGCTTAAAAAGCGTTGCCACAGCAGTGAAAAAATCACCAGAATGAGACGCAACTGGCACGCGATTGACGCTGAAATTTTAAGCGATTAGTTATCGTTCGGAAACTGCCGCTGCGTCTATTGTTATTAACTCCGTGCATCAT